GGGTGGCCCTACAAGGCATTATGCTGTGTGGAATATCTTAGTCACAAAAGAAAAAATCCTGTATAACAGCAGTGTTATAAAACGGGACAGACATGGGGATTGGGAAGCAACTAAGAAAAGAGCAACTAAATAAGGAACAGTGCATTGGAGCCGAAGAAGGAAAGAACTGTTTAAAAGGAATATATATTTAGGCATTATTTGTATGACAAAAGTCCAGAATAAGAGGTGCATAGCAAAGTGGACTGGCGGGGAGAAGGGGCACGGGAGGAAAGTATGCAACAGTGAATTTTTTTCTTTTTAAGTGAACTGGAGCTGTAGGGAGGAAAATGTGGAACCATAAATGAATGAAAATCCAACTTTTCCTGAAACTTTGATTAAAGTAAAAATAAAATAAACCCCATTACCTGCTTTGTATATGAATAGTTTAAATACTGATTAAATCGCACAGTGATTCTCATTTTCTTTTTCTGATTTGTTTATTCTCCTCTCACATAAATTCAGGAGCCAATAAGTTTTTTGTTCAGTCTTTTGAATTACTGTTGTACACTTAATCTGGTAGATAGGGAATTGTAAAGATACTGGTTAAAGTTTTGTAATGTGCCATTCATTTCATTCGTTTTGTTCTGGTTTTACCCTTAACCTTCCCCTTTGCAGCACTCTTGCATTCTAGCTCTCTTACAATCTCATCTTTACTATAGAGTAATTTTTGGCCACTTGGTCTCTTTAGATGATTTTTCTGGAATATGCTTATTAGTCACAGCTGATATTCTTTTTTGTGTCATGTTTTTCTTTCATCCTATTTAAATTCGTTGTGGTCCTAAGCAGGATGGTTGTTACTGGTAGCCTGCTGATAAAAATAGGTGGATGAAGTAGGTAGTGTAGGATGAAGAGCTGTAGTTTTGCTCTTCTCTGAATCTTTGGTCGCTGTTTTTGTCTTTTGATCCAGGTATGTATCTTTTAAGACCCCAAAGGCTACCCATCATCTTGAAATGTAGATGCCATTATGTTCAGTGTCTCTTGAGCCTATCATTCTCAGTCTTCTAATCCATGGAACTAGCCTCTAAAGGTGTTGGTATGTTTATGTGATTGTATCTGTGTTCTCTGGATGGTTTATTACATACATTGATATGTGGGCATATCTCTATGACCATACCTGTAGATCTATCTACCTGTTTGTACATATATACCCACATTTTGTAACTCCTTTAGTAGTATATACATATTTTTATAATTACATGTGTTTATTTTGGTTGTTTTTGCAAAATGGGAAATTTACCAAACCCATTTTCAACCCATAGGCTTCCTTTTTGAGTTTCCAAGGCTTGCTCTATCTATATCTATCTATCTATCTATCTATCTATCTATCTATCTATCTATCTATCTATCAAATGCTCATTTTTCGCCTTTGTAGCAGCTGGTTGATATGAACTGTCAACCTTCTGGGTAGCAGCTCAACAATTTATACACCATCCCATAAGAGCTCTTTATCATTCTTTTCTATTTTACGCTTTTGATGTCTTTTTTACTTTGGTCAAGCTGTGTATACTTCTCCATATTCCATACTATCCTATCACTAAGAGAGAATATGTATGTGTTCTTGAGAGTGCTTTCTCTTCTGCCTACCTATTCAAATTTTTTAAAGAAATTTAGCACATATAGTGGATAATGTATCATTTATTGATCTATTTACCACCCAGAATTGATGGTTGCTATTTATTATACTTGCTTGTCTTTTTGAGCTGCCTTTTGATACCTTTTCTTTATCTTTTTTACTTTAGTATTTCTTTTTTATTTCTGTTTCTTCCTCTTCTATATTCTTATGTAATTTTCATAATCTCTTGTGAAAATATTTTGGTCTTTTCTCTTGTTTTTTGTAATGATCTCTTGCCTTTTTTATGGATAATGCTTTTAATGTCATTCCACAATTCTTCTGATTATTAGGATTTAGTGCATCAAATTTATTCTTGAGAATATGAACAAAATTGTGAATGATGTAGGAAGCATCAGAAATGAGCTCAGAATTACTGTATGAAAAATAATTGGTTGACACTGAAACATTTAAGCAAGTAGTGTATGATCAAGAACCAGTGGTAATTAAGGAAGAAATCTAAGATGCACTGAAGGCACTGGTAAAACATATGACCCAAAGGATTGATGGAAACTAGTTTTCGTGATTCATCAGGCAAATACAGTCCTGGATGTGCTTACTGACCTATCCCAAGAAATATGGAACACAGATGCCTTATAAGTTTACAGAGAAATCTATATTATCTCCGATTCTAAGAAAAGATCCAACAGAGTGCAGAAATTATCAGACAATATCATTAATAATACATGGAAGTAAAATATTACTGAAAAGTATTTAAAAATGGCTTAAACTGTACATTGGTAGAGAAATTCAGAGTAGATTCAGAAGAGGTCATGGTATGAAGGATATTATTGCTGATAGATATTGGTTGAAAGAAGAGAGTACTAGAAAGAAGATTACTGGTGTTTTATTATCTATACAAAGGCATTTGACTGTGTGGTACATAATTGTGGATAACATTGAGAAGAATGGGAATCCGTGACTTCTGTTTGGTCATATGAAAACTATAACTACGCCAACAAGCAGTTGAATGAACAAAAGAAGGGAGCACGGTGGTTCAAAATAAAAAAAGATGTGCATCAGTGTTGTATTTTTCTCCCCCCATACCTAATCATACCATTGATGCCTTTGAACTGTGGGGCTGGAGAAGAATACCATAGACTGCTAGGAGAACAAACAGGTTCATCTTAGAGAGGGTGAGACCAGGCTACTACTCCTGAAGTTTCGTCTGACATACTTTGGACCTGTTGCAAGGCGGGAAGCAATCCTTGGAGACGGACCTCATGCTTGGGAGGGTAGAGGGACAGCACAAGAGAAGACCCTCGATATGGATTGATTCAGTGACTAGGATAATTGGGATGGTTGTGTCACAGACAATAAGATTGGCACAGGATAGAGCAGGGTTTAGGGATGTTGCACAGAGAGTCGTTATGAGTCGCAGACAACTTGACGGCATTTACCAACAACAACAATTAATTTGTATGCTGTGCCTATAATTTAAGAAGCGTGCTTTTATGATGAAGATTATAGCATTAGGATTAGAATACTCATTGAACACCTGTGTTAGTCAAATGACACAGCCTTGCTAGCAGAAAATGAGGAAGACTTGAAACAGTTATTAAAGAAGATGAAAGAGTACAATCTTCAATACAGCCTTCAATATGAGTTACATCTGAACATCAAGAAAGGAAGTCTTCAGCACTGGATTAATATGCAATTTCATAATAGATGGAGAAAGGTTGAAGTTGTCAAGAATTTCATAGCAACTCTATGAACAACACATAGGAACCTTCCTCTTGTCCTGCTCCATTCTTGTGATCTCTGGCATACTTGAGCCTGTTATAGACCCTGTGGCAGTTCATCTCTTCGAAGGTCTTCCTTTCTTTTGCTGAGCCTCTACGTTTCCTAGCATCATAATATTTTTCCAAGGAGTAGCTCTTCTTGACAACAGGTCAAAGTATGTGAGAAATGTCACCATTTTTGCCTCTAAGGAGTACCTTGGTTGCACCTCCTCCTAGTTAAATTTCTCATTCTTTTGTTAGTCCAGAGTATATTCAAGACTCTTCTCCAACACTGCAAGTAAAAGCCATTTAATTTTCTTGTCATCTTTATTCACTGTCTTAACTTGCAGATGCATAGGTAATAATTGATCCATGATTTGGATCACGTACACCATGTTTACACTTATTTGCTTATTTTTTAAAACTTTGATGGAAATCACTGATAGCTTTCTTTTGCAATACAACCTGTGTTTGGATTTCTTGACTGTTATTAAAATCTATCCCTAGGGTTACTATAGTCATAGCGGGCTGTGTTGGCCTCTAACAGCAATGATAATTGTACCTGTTATTTCTTTGATAAAGAATATGAGTTACCTTTCCCCAGGTTACTCTGGTTTTGTTTGGGTTGCTTATGTTTTGTTTGGCTTTTTTTTTCCACTTTGCAAAAGATTTACTGAATTGTTCTTTGCTTTGTATGTATAAACACATCTCTTTCCTAAACGGATTAATTTTCATCTTGAGCATAAACACATGGAGCTTTAAGAAGAGCTGTGTTTCCCCTTTGATTCTTGTTACCTCATTTGTCATCGGCAAAAATGGCCTTGTACCACGGCATTCTAGCTTTCTGATTTGTAACAGGCCTGCACACAGCTTTCTGACTCTAAGATTTTCAGGAAGCCAGCACATGGTTTTCTAGTTTCCTCTGTGATTTGCAGCAGGCCCACAGAATACTTTCTAGCTCTCTGATTTGTAGCAGGCCCCACCACTTCTGTAGTTTTACTCACCTCCACTCAACCTTCTGTTTTTACTGTTGTTTGAGGTGGCGGGGAATGACATTCTATATAGGTAAAATTGTGTTTTCCTTTGTTTCCTGCTCTTCTATCTCCCCGTTCCTATTAGGGAGTTGGTATTATAGTGATCGAAATTTTACATTGTTGGTGCTGTTGTTAATTGCCTTTGAGTTGAGCATGACTCATAGTGACCCTATAGTGAACACAAGGCCTGAATCTCCTCTACAACTATCAACATTTATAAAAGTTCATCGAGTTCCGGAGGCATGTTGTTTAGGAAGTGGTTGCCACTCCTGCTTCCAATTTTTTTTAAAAGGAAATATAGTACTTAAATTCATCTATTGTAGATATTTACCAGTTTCCATTTCAGAACCTACTGATAGCTTACCTTCATTGGGTTTCCAAGGCTTTAAATCTAGAAGAGGCAATTGCCCATCTTTCTCCTGTGAAGTTCTGTTGATTTGAGTTGCAACAGCAAGTGGCTTTCATGTTTCCAGTTCAGAGCTCCCTTTTCCTAATGTTAGAAGGGGAAAAGTAAATCATAGCAATAACTTTGGTCTCTGTGTGCTTTGAGCTAGCAAAGACCTTTTTTTGCTTATTTTAGACTGTTTTACCTTTCAGAGATCTGCACCATGACCTGGAGGGACCATTGAAAGAACTCAGAAAGCATCTCGTGGAGAGTACCAATGAAATGGCACCTTTGAAAGTCTGGCAATTGCAAGGTAGTAAAAATTTCAGAAACTAGTGGCTTGCATTTTGCCATTATGTGATAAATTAACAAAAAATGCAGATGTGAATTTTTTATGTCCACATATTTTAAAAAAATGCCACAGCTGTAATATGTAATTATGATTAATCATGGAAGAAAGGGAAGTATATAGCTGTGTGAAACATTTCTGTTTGTAACCATGTACATAAGTACGTATTATTGATAGTGTTTTTGTCTCAATTGTTGTATTGCTCTGTGTGTTGTTTTTGTTGTTGTTAAGTGCCGTTGAGTTGCAGGCGACTCATAGCGACCCTATGAAGGAGAGTCCTCGACGGATGCTTGGGTGCCTTTCATCATCTCTCCAGGTTCATAGGGTTTCCGGAGGCAAGCTATTATGGAAGTGGGCACCACTCCTCCTTCCAAGCTTGTTTTCATCGGGGAGCTCCACCCCATTGGTTACCATTGGGTAACCAGCCGTTAACGCATTTGACACAGAGTTCAGCCTCACAGCAACCACAAGTGACCAATGTATGGCAACTTGTACACCAGCGCTATACGACATAGAGGAATGTCTGAACAAAAATAGAAAAAAAAAAATAAAAAGACAGGCCCGAGGGCCGCAGATTAAAAGTCACCCACCTTTGGCTCGGTAGCATTGCTTTCTGTCCACTGGGCCAGCTGATCTCTCTCTCTCCGTCTGTGTTGATATTTTTGTTGTTAAGTGCCGTCAAGTTGCAGGTGACTCATAGCGACCCTATGAAGGATAGTCTATGTGTGTGCATTTAAAAAAATTATAGACTTGGAGGCATGTCAACATAGGAAGGTGTACATATATGATTTTTGGTTTCAAAAAAGTTTATTTTCCCTAATGTAGTTTACCAACTCTTTTTACTATACTTTGCAGTAGGTACTAAATTCAAAAGAGGCAAAGGGTTTGGAGTCTATGTAGTTTACATTCCATGTGCTAGCATGAAGCATTGTGGTTTGGTGCTAATAATGTTTTACCTTTCTTTTGAGGCCTTGGTTTTAATCAAGGCTCACATCACCTTGAACCATCTGTCACAGTAGAACTGCATGCTGCTATGATGTTGAAGAGATTTTAAATGGTAGCTTCCAGATTAAGGTGAACTAGGGAAAAAAGTCCTAGCGATCTTATTTTGTAAAATGATGCAATGATAGTCCTGTTGATTACAATGAAAATGATTTGCAATCAGTCATTGCTATTTTTTGTTTGATTTTGTGGGTTTGGTTTTTTGTTTGTTTGTTTGCTTGTTTTGGTTTTTTGTACACTGAGTCACCACGAGAGAGGAGGCTAGTTGGACAGCTGCTAACAATATTGTATGTATGTAACCTAACGTTTTAAGCAGATGAACTGAGGAACTGTTACACTGCGCCCGTGAAGCAGCTATGAAATGAATGTAAATGGAAAGAACCAAAGTCATCATTTCTGATGATCACATTCTAAGGCATTCTTAATTATGAGAAAATAGTGAGGAATTAATATGTGGGGGTTTTTTCCACAAATTTTTCTTAGATTGATATACTTCAAGTTATATTTATAATTTTTACAGATCTAAGTTTCCAGACTGCTGCTAGAATCCTGGCTGCTCCTGTTGAGTTGGCTTTGGTGGTTATGAAGGACCTTAGTCAAAATTTCCCTACAAAAGCAAGGTAATATTGAGTAAAGTTTTGAGAAGTTCTCTTTAACATCATACCCAATTATCTTATGCAAATGAATTAGTTAAAATATTAAAATGTTTAAAAATTAAAGTTCTATATTACTTAGTAAGGAGCCTAGTGGTAAGGAGTTGAGTTGCCAACACAGAAGTGCACAGTTCAGATCCATCAGGTGCTGTGCAGAGAAAAGATGAGCTGCCTCCTCCTGTGTGACTTACTACCTCTGAAAATCTGCTGGAGGATCAGGTATCAGTTGGTTCTGACTCAGTAGCACACAATAACGTAATTACTATTGCCACACTACTAATAGTGCAGGTTTGTCTGAAACAAAGCAAATACCATGCATTATGTGGTTTAAGAGATATGTGGAGACTCTGTTACTCAATAGTTGTGTAACTTTTATACAAAAAATTCTCTTAGCCTTAATTTTCTCAGCAGTGAAATGGGTCTAATGTCTACCTTTGAGGATCTAATGAATTAACCAAATGTAGTGTGTGTATAGGGAGCTATGGTGGCTTAGTGGCAATAAGCTGTGCTGCATTCCCAACGGCATGCTGTTCAAATCCATCAGCTTCTCTGGGGGAGAAGGATGAGTAGTCTGTGTAATGAACTGCCTCTGAAAACCCACTGAAGGGTCAACTATGGATTAATTCTGACTCAATGATACTCACCACCACCACCAAAACAGTGTGTGTATATGTAATTAGTCTGAATGAAGTCTTGCACAGATTGTAATTTTTCTTTATGAAATGTTTTATGCTGAAACAGAGAGTCACAAAGGCTGTGGTACAAGTTGATGGTGACAGAATCCTGTAATAAATGACAGTTTCTTGACATTCTTTCAACCGTGTAAAGTTGCCAAAGCAAAATTGTTTTAAAAGTCTAATACCAACTGATAAAATTAAGTCAAATTAATGACTTATTTAGTCACTGCTATTATTGTGTGCTGTTGAACCAACCCATAGCTAACCCTTCAGTGGGTTTTCAGAGGCAGTTAATTGCATGAGACTGGTTTGCCCATCCTTCTCTTGTGGAGCTGCCTGGTGGATTTGAACTGCATGCCTTTGGTATTGCAGCACAGCTCATTACTGTTAGTCCACCAGAGCTCCCTTAGTTAGTTTGGCTTAATGAGGAACTCATTAAGTTAGTTTGGCCTAATTAGTTTGGCTTAATGAGGAACTCTGGTGGTTTAGTGGTAAGAAATTTAATTGCCAACTCAAATATGCAGTTCTAATGTACCAGCTGTTCCAGGATAAAGGTGAGCCATCACGCATGCAATTTAATCTCTCTGAAAACCTGTGGGAGGACCAGGTATGATTAGATTCTAACTTATGATAAAGCAACAACAATGACTTAAATGCTTGTAATCTTTTTTCTTGAGTCACTGTTTTGACTTAGAGTATAAAATTTTTGTTAAAAAAATGTGTTTGATTATTAGTTTTGAAATATGATTTGTCAATAAGATTTAAGAGTCATATACTAAATTGTCATATTCAGTCCATTGTGTTGCTTGAAACTATTTCCTCTAATATTTAAGTAGGATAAACAAACTTTTGCTTTTCTCTTATTAAGATTATCTTCTGGTGTATGATAGCTAGAGATCTCTTTTTTAAATTTTTTTGGAGTCTTTTATAGGAATAAAATTCCATATATTAAATTAAGAAGGTGAAAACAACTTACACTTGCTTTTAAATGGTGCTATTTTTACTAGTTTTCTTTTGTTATGTCTAGTAGTAATAAAAAAAAAATACACATTATCTTACAGAGGGGGAATATATTTGTTTTAAAACCCAAAGTTTTTCCATTCAATTTTTGCTCTCCTTGATTCTTCAGCTAAGACAGCAAAGAGTTGATTTATTGTGCATATTACATTCAACCACAACCAAGCACAGACTTAATCCAGAATATTATTGGTTTAGGGCAATGGATCCAAAGGGGCTAGTTTTGAAGGAGGTGTTCATCAGAGGTCTTCATGGCGATGCATCTTCTAATTTCCTTGAGAGAGAGGTTCTCGATAGGAGCATGTAGTCAGCTTTATCCACCTGTCCCAACTCTGCTCGTGCTGTGGTGGTGCCTGCTCTGCATACATTGGCAGCATCGCTTTCTGTCCACTGGGCCAGCTGATCTTTCTCTCTCTCTCTCTCTCTCTCTGTGTTGATATTATTGTTGTTAAGTGCCGTCGAGTCGCAGGTGACTCATAGCGACCCTATGAAGGAGAGTCTATGTGTGTGCATTTAAAAAAACTATAGACTTGGAGGCATGTCAACATTCCAGCTTCCACTCAGCCTGCATGTCGGCTTTTGGCACCACTTGGCAATAATGATTCAGAGATGTCGATCAAGATGTGCTAAATTTGAAGGAGAGCTCTATTCAGGGTTTTTTTGTGTGATTTTTTTAATGCTTAATACTTATATAAAAGGAAATTGAAGGGCATGTATGTCACATATTTACTTACTTTAATGGTTTTACTTTATTAGAGCAATAACAAAAACAGCTGTGAGTCTGGAACTAAGAACTGAAGTGGAAGAAAATCAGAAGGTAATTTCACCAGTGTAAAATACTGATCCATTTTCATGTATCAAGATATCGTTATTATAGTAGTGACCTTTAAGAGTGTTTTTCTCCTTTTGTCCTACGTGACACACATGTGTACTCTTTTCTTTCTGTAATATTTGTTATAGCATTACTTTCTAGCAAAGCTGAATATGAAAAGAATTCATACTCCAGTGGTGTTAATTGGTCGATTAGAAAGCCAGAAGCAGTGTCCTGCTGTGTTTTACCCCCTACCCTGCACCCTTTCTCAGAGGCAAGCACTTTCAACTCTTAGCTGGTTTTTGGGGTAGGAAAATTTTGTGCTTTGAGACTTCGTCAAGTTCATGTCTCACTTCTTGTTAATTGTTATTAATTCTTTACTAATAGCTTTGCAAGATAATAGAATTCTTGATTGGAGGTTATTTAAAAATGTGAAAGTGTTGTTCCTTCAAACTTGCATTTTCATTGACAAGTCTGAAGCCATACTGTTTTCTCTTGTCACTTCTTACATTATGATTATGACTTTTTGTTTTTCTCATAGTTGAAAGTGCACAGTGAAACAGTCACCTGTATAACAGTTTGGGTTTTTTCAGATTGCTCTGTGATACTAGTTGCCATTTTCAACTTGTGTTAACCTTCTCATTAATATTTTTCTGTTTGTTCTGTTTCTATTAAACTACCTTCTTTTTTCTTTGTCTTCTTTTCCCTTTTGATTAAAGATAAACTGGTCTTGTGTAATTGTTTAAGGGACATGGGTAATAGTGATAATTTTATAATATACTCTTTTTGTTTGACTGAAAGGTTGGCTCGGTAATAGCTTCAATTTTAGGGTAAGAGAGTATCTTAGGTAATTGTCTTTGCCTTTCCTTCAGTCTCTGTGTTACTCAAAACTTTGAGTTTCCTTTCCTTGGAGTGATGCAACCCAATTAGTTGACTCAGGTTTCAGAACAAAATCTAAAGAGTTTTATTAGGATGTATTTACCAGGGACAGACAGGGGTTGCTCTCTGCTTTCTAAAGTTGGCTTTGTTTTTTTATATCTTTGACAGGCTTATATAGTGAACAAAAACACACAGTAAGGATCCCAATTAAGGACACAGGAGAGAGCGACAGTTTATAAGGCATAGGTTTCAAAGGACTAAAATAGCTCAAAGGACAATTGTGTGGTTTTTTTTCCACTTTATTACTCATCTTCATTCATCAAGGATGAGCCCCTCCCCTTCCATTCTGCCAGCCTCTGGCATTAGTATTCCAGGTAGCCATTCTGAAAACATCTCAAGTAAAAAGAACAGTCACTACATAAAACAATAATATGTACATCTCCCTGGTCAGGACAGTTGGTCATGGCTAAAGAGGTCATGATTTGTGTAAGCTACAATCATGTGGGCTAGTTCTTCCTTCAATCTTTAGTTTCCTTTGTTTTCTTTCACTTTAGATGAGTAGAGACTGATAATTGTATCCTAGTAGACTGCAAGCTTATAAGACCTCACATGCTACTCACCAAACTAGGGTGAGTATAGAAAGTTAACTTTATGAATTGTATTATACCACTTAACTAAATTATCTCATGATACTGTGATCTTAAATCTTTCAATTAACTTTATCAATTCCACAAGTTTCTTGTTAGGAATTCTCCATTACTGTGTCTTGAAGCCCTTACTATAGACTTGCAGCACTTACTGTAGAAGTACAAAGACTATACCCTTCAATGTACATTACATCTCAACATTGAGAAAACAAAAGTCCTCATCATTAAACCAATAGGCAACCATCAGGTAGATGGAGATAAGATTGAACTAACCAACAATTTCATTTTGCTTGAATCACAATGAGCCCACTTGGTAGCTATGTTGAAGAAATCAGAAGATGTTTTGCATTAGTAAAATCTGCTGTCAAAAAACTTTTTTTCCCACTGCAAAAGTAATTTTTGGGGGGAGGGGTTGAGTACAGTGTACTTTATGGATGATACATGACAAGATGGGCTCGCCAAGCCCCTCCCCTTTCTCAGGGGGATTTGATAGAAACTTGTGTCAAGGATGTCAGATTCTCAGTGTGTGGGAAGAGCAAGTGGGGACAAGGACTCCCCAGCAGCTGAGGGTCTCTCTCTCTTCTAGTGCTATTGCTGGGGCTGGTGTTCCAAGGGGCTGTTATTCTTTGGAGGCCATGACCATCACGTCAACTACCCAGTTGCTGTAGCCAAATTCATTGTCATACCAGGAAATGAGTTTGACAAAGTGGTCGTTCAGGGCAATGCCAGCCCCAGCATCAAAGGTAGAAGAGTGGGTGTCACTATTAAAGTCACAGGAGACAACCTGGTCTTCAGTGTATTCCAGGATGCCCTTAAGAGGCCCTTCTGATGCCTGCTTTACTACTTTCTTGATGTC